ATGTACAACAGTGCAAAGCTGTGCTTCTGCGTGCTCGGCTGTATTAACGTAGCAGGGACGTCATTGAATCTGCTTCCTTTGTACGGCCCCTCGTCCACACTGAGAACTGTGGAGGGAGGTTCAACTACTGTTTCCCTTGCCAGTTGAGGACGGAGGCTCAGGGTGGCGAGGTAGCCTGTGTGAGATTCCCCGGTTAATAAGGGCACAGGGACATTAGAATCTGGGTGCTGTGTTCCCCGAGTCTAGAGCCTCAGGAGTCGCAAACCCTGTCTTCCTATTCTGTGACATTCTGGTATTTGTTGGAAAATACATCATGAACCTGAACATCATGGACCGAGAAGGAGCCTTTGCTTGGTGGCTGGTGCTCACCAGTCTGTGTTTTATCTGCCCAAGAGGGTTTTACGGTGTTGGCAAATATCATTATTTTAGTCAGAGCGGCTTGCAGCCATGCAGCAGTTTACTCTGCGGCTTTTTAAAACACTATTCTAACCCTATAAGGAACTTTTTTTAATACAGTGCTAAAACAATAATATAGTGTTTTATTTTTGGCAAGATCTCTCACTCCATAGTTCGGTACCCGAAACTCACTACATAGTGCTGGCTGGCCTCTCATTCATGACAATCCTCCTGCTGCAGCCTCCTGTGCACTAGGATTATGGGTATGGGCCACTACGCACAAATCTTTCATTTTTCTTCCTCCTCCTCCTGTCTACTTCAGGAGAGTGATGCTTCTTTCTTGGTTGGAATTTTGGGGAATTGTACTGAAGGTGTGAACGGGAAACTGGCTCAGGATCCAGACCTGACTCACAACAAAGCTCTTTGCAGACACCAGCACTGACTGCACAAGAAGAGGGCTAGCTTCTACCTTTGTCTTCCTCGGTCTTTGTGGACACTCCGGCTTGTCTTGCAGGGTTCTATCAGTCAGGCTGTGGAGGAGAGAGACGTAATTGGTGTGCACAACAGGCAGGGTGACCCTTAAATCAGTGTCTGTGGGCATGGTGGTGCATGCCTGTAACCCCTGCACTCTGCAGGCTGAGGCAGGAGGATTGCAATGAGTTGAAGGCCATGCTGGGCTCTAGAGCGAGACTCTGTCTCAGAAGGACAGCGCTGGCAGCGGCGGCAGCACTGGGTCATAGTCCACAGGCTTCCGAGTCTCCCTGATGATTTCAGTCCCAGGCTTGAGTTCACCAAAGCTCTGGTGGCCTCACCTCCGGCCACTGGGAGAGGCAGAGAAAAAACCCATTGGATACCAAAGAAATGTTTTGTCCCTGATTTTGGAGGATCGTTTCTTAAAAAGACAGAGCTAATTCAACAAAAAGGACCTTCCCTTTAAAAAAAAAAAAAAAAAGAAAAGAAAAGAAAAGAGGAAGTAATGCTTATTTATATGGCTCTTTCCTCCTCTAAGAACATCTTTGGGTTTTTGAAAAGATCTATTTTTAATCGTGTGTGTGTGTGTGTGTGTGTGTGTGTGTGTGTGTGTGTGTGTGTGTACACAAGTGTAGGTTCCCTCCGATGCCCTGGAGCCATGAACCACCTGACATGCATGGGTCCTGGGAACTGAACCCAGGCCCTTTGCAAGAGCAGCGTGTGCTCTGCCCCCCTGAGGCCCTGGGTTCCTCAGGTTCAGTGGAGGACAGCAGAGGTGCCTCCAGAGGGGAGTCAGTTTTCCATCTCCAGCTTCTTCTAAGCCTCGTCATCATCTTTATGTACTACAGCCTTATGTGAAAAGAGTTAGAGAGAGCACAAGATGAGAAGCGGTGTCTGTCTGTGCTCCAAGAATAAAGGCATCAATAAATGAAAGTCACTGAGAAGACGAGCAACCGGAGGTGCAGCATCCATTAAATTCCTGGCTCCGGAACACCGAGGGCATCCTGTTGCTCACTGTGCATGAGACACATCTGCTCTGGTGTTTGTGGATGTGTGTGGCTTGCACAGCCTGCCCTCCTTTAAAGGCTGCTGGAGCCCCCAGGACAGGTAACAGTGGAGGAACACATCTCACTGTAAACTCTTGAATGCTGTGTTGGTTGTTTTTCTCTTTCATGTGACGAATACTCAACAAAAGCAGCTTAAGGTTGGGAAGGTCTCTTTTGACTCACTCTGAGGGTGCAGGCATGATGGCAAGGAAGGCATGGCACACAAGTGTGAGTGTGAGTGTGAGGCGTCCGTGATATCACACCTATAGGCAAGAAGCAAGGAGAGATGAGTACCCTTGCCGTTTTATTAATTCACAGACCCCAATCCATGAGATGGTTCTGTTCCCATTCAGGTAGGCCTTCCTTCCCCAGCTAAACTTTCTGGAAACACTCTCAAGGGCATACCTAAAGGTGTGTTGCCATGGTGACTCTAAATCTAATCAAGTTGACAGCCAGGAAGGTCTACCTTCTTCTCTTAGTATGGTGCCTGAAGGAGCAGCTTCCCAGGAGCATGTAGGCTGCAGAGGTAAGACAGGCCTTATCCTTAAGCAAACAGGGAGATGTAGAAAATATATCTTAGTTTGGTTTAAATATAGCATCAAAGGCACCCAGAAGCTCCCATGAAAAGGTAGGATTCAGAAGCCATTGCCAGTGAGCAGCCAGGGTGATGGTAATGCTGTTACAATGAGTTGATATGGAGAGGAAGACAGGTTCAAGGAGAAGGAATGTTCCTTTTCTGAGTTTCCTCTGCTGGTGCAAGACAGGGAACAAGAAATCCAAGGGAAGCACTGAGTGGCTTAGGGGAGCGAGGTCAGGCTGGAGGAGATGCAGTGTCTGCCAGGCCGAGTGTGCAACAGAGGATGAGAAGCCAGTGCAGGTGGGAGGAGGGGAAGGGGGAGGGAGAGGGGAAAGGGGAGGGGGAGGTCCAACTCAGGGACCCAGGGCAAGCCCCTGGAACTGGAGACAGAATAACTAGAGTACCCAGAGGCAGGAAGGGCAGGAGCCGGATGTTTCTGTGTTGGGGAGGAGTGTGTGAGTCTGGAGTAGCAGGGCACATGGAAAGCACTGGGGAAGGGTAGGGGCCAGTGGAGCAGGCACCTGGACATGGGGGGTGGTTATAGTCAGAGAAGTGAAGCCCTGGCCTGAGACCTGTGAACTGTGTATCTGCAGCCAGTCATGCAAGCTCAGGCTTCCTCCCTGCACTGTGGGAACCACCTCAGGAGCGGGGCCAGTGTCAGTAGTTACGCAAGCCAGCAATCATATTTACCTTTTCTAGTCTTCTAGTCATTTCTAGTTAGTGTAGACTCTAATGGCTTCCACAGGACATTTGATATGCATTTATTATTCTCCTTTGTTTGTACCCCACACACTACTCTCCCCTCTTCCCTACTGCCTCCTCACACAGGTCCTCTGTGTCCCCTAATAGTCCCTCATCTGTGTTCATGTCACACATATGTGTGTGTGCATACATGTGTATATTTGATTCTAGATTCCCTATATAAGAGAAACATGGTATTTTGTTTTTCTCCTCCTCCTTCTCTGTTTGCACCCTTGCCTCTTCCTCCTTGTTTTAAAGTGTGGAAGACAGGATTTTTAGAAGTTGGTTTATAAAGAAATATAATGTCCTTTTCTTTAGAATAAAACCCAGTCTCAGAGTCTGAACAGAACTCACTTTATTTTGTCAAGTTTAATTGTTTGAGCACCAGCTGTATACTAGTTCTTTCCCACGTCTCTGTGGGTCATTGGAGCACCAGCTGTATACCAGCTCTTTCTCACATCTCTATGGGTTGTTGAAGCACCAGCTGTATACCAGCTCTCTCCCACTTCTCTGTGGGTTGTTGGAGCACCAGCTGTATACCAGCTCTTTCCCAGGTCTCTGTGGGTTGTTGGAGCACCAGTTGTATACCAGCTCTTTCCCAGGTCTCTGTGAGTTGTTTGATCACCAGTTGTATACCAGCTCTTTCCCACTTCTCTGTGGGTTGTTGGAGCACCAGCTGTATACCAGCTCTTTCCCAGGTCTCTGTGGGTTGTTGGAGCACCAGCTGTATACCAGCTCTTTCCCAG